CAGTAATATTTAGACAGTAAGAACTCAGCATAACTCAAACGTACCCACGATGCTACCGATAGCGGATGCTCTCTTAACGGTTTTCGCTTGATTAAGTACTTAAGTCAGGATGAATGGATTGGCTTACAGAGCTGCAAAGTTAACCGACCCTCCATAACCTGACTTCAGGATTGTTACCCACGGCTCTATAAATGGTACTACATATAGATTGCATTAGCGGCGCTTTTTGTAGAGGCCATCTCTTGGCAATTCGAACGTAACTTTGAGGAAATCAAATCTGATGTTCAAAAATGTCGGTAATAGTCACTAGCCGCAATACGGCAGTCTCAACACCCCTGGTACCGTTCGAGTTGCGAAAAAATTTCAGAACGTTTTATAACTGAACAACCACACGAAGGGCTGCGTTACAGTTCGCCCGCTGAGCTTGACAATAATCACTACCACCATTTGGAAACATATTTATGTGCTACTGACCTCACTCCACCCGCCCCCTGCTACACTCACCAACAAGAGGTTGAGGCGGTCTGATATTGGCATGACCTCAACAAATAACAAGGCATTTGACCTATGTCCACGTGTGTCGGACATCAGTTGCTCTGGTTTCACATCTGCCAGTTGACATAAGGCCAAAATAAGTAGCAGGCATTGTAAATAAGCTTTCGTGTTCGAAGACCGGGGCTTCCTGTAAGGTGGAAAGCTTAATAGCAAAGACATGTTGGGCACCGTAACAGGTCATATGCAAGTGAGCTTTATTGTAGTGAAAAATGTCGCATGCAGTCCTCCTTAGTCCACCCCTCCTCCTCACGAGCTGGTGGCAAAACGCGGGATGAGACTGTCCGCAATGACTGATCAGGTATTAATTGAGCCCCACTTGCGTTGGCCACATGTTTGGTACGTCATTCTGGCCTAACGCAACAGCGGCCGCTGTTTTGTAGGGCGCGTATGGATGATAACTACACTAAAGTTGACGTAGACCAGAGAGTGAACCCTGCTAGAAGGGTGTGAGTCAATAGTTTTCTAAATGTCACGTCTCAGCTAATCCGGTCTCTCGAACGGTGTGAATTTGTCGGTTTGTAGTTATAACACCTAGTCATTTGGCTTAGCGTGCACGATTAAGAGTACGAAATGCAGTTAAAATGAGCGGTGGCATAACAATTTTTGCTCATGACCTGAGTTTTTTTGAGAAAATGACAAAAGCAGCGTTTCCTGTTTAGGTAAAATCAAGCATTAAAATCATAGCGATATTTAGAATGTTGAACTAACTAGTCAAAATTTGCGAATGCATCCTTCATAATTAATCCGTCAGATTCGTTAGCCATTTGCAATCTCTCGATGGTCATGCAAAATTGGAAGTCGTGAGTTCACATTATTAAAACGCCAAATTCGACTTAACTAACGTGACGGCTCAGCTAGGAGAATAGAACGCTATTTAAAAGTTAGACCGTTTTAGACTTCGGCACAGAAACTTCTGACAGCCGCGAACCAGCTGATGTTAACAGTCCTTCTCGCCGCACAACGAAATTTCAGCCAAAAAACTTATTTGGCTCCACCGTCTGGCTACTTATCTCTCGGATTAAACAACTCCCCCTATACTATTTGCTAGCCGCAAAGAGGTCTAGACCCTTTAGCCCATAGGGAAGTTTTGTGTGATGACAAACTTCGACTTCATTATCTTCATACTCGTGCACAATAAAGACAACACTGTGAACGTCGAGTACATTAATTTCATAGGCTTCCCGTGTCAGACGGCGGAATATGGACCCCACGATACAGCAGGCCCCATCGCACTCAATTCCAGGGGTACCTACTCCCGTACATTAGCTTTGACTTTAACACTAACTTTAACCCTCTGCAATTTACGGTGAGTCCACTTGTAATATCGGTGGATGGGGGTGGGCATATTCCCCTGCCAAACCGCTCCTCTTCCCCCCCCCCCGAAAGCATCATTAGAATGCAACAAGTTTGGAAGAGGGTAGAGTAGTTATATTTGCTACCGGAGGGATCTGCACAGTAAGTAATGGTTCAAGCGAGTTGCCCCCAAAACCTTAGACATGGTGTGTCTAGCAACGACTGTGCACCTGCATGTCGAAGGAATGGGCGTGCCTGCGCGACCGCTGTCATAAACGTGTTTCCGAACTGCCGATGATGTTTGAAATTTTAGAATGTCGCCCAGAATTCGGATAATTTACTAACGCGAAGTTCTAAAAACGCCTTGCTTAATGCATGTAAACCCTGCGCTGCAGAGCACTCTTGTTAGAAATCTGAAGTCTAACCTCACTTTCTATAGCCGTTGAACCCAAAAAAGGCTACAACGCAGGACCAAAAGTATGCAGACGCCATTTAAGGTTGTACTCCCTGTGGGTGGCGAACCACCATCTTCAGGAATACCGATACGACTATACTAAAACAACCGACAATGGCGTTCGGCGCAGCGTCCTATTTAGCACAGGACCCAAGTTTGCGAGTGCCACAATATCGCCGGTCATGCTTCTAACACAGAGTTATCAGCGCTGGAAACATGTGGACCACCCTCAGCTCGTTTTATCCTCCAGTCTAAGTGGATATCAGCGTTTATTTTGTGTACTCCGCACCGAACCCTAGAACCAAAGATGAGACTTGGATACTAAGCAGAACAATAGTCCAAGGTTTAAATCGTGCGTTTAGAAATCAAGAATTCTAACTCTTGCCTGGGCAATCCATACATTGGGCATGACTCATAATAAGCGGAGCACGGTTAAGTAGGCAAGGATCTGCTTCTAATGGAGGAAACCGATACTTTGTTGTGCACTGCTGCCTCATCTGCATTTGAGTCGAGCAGTTTTTTCGTCACAGACTCGGACAGTTGTTCAGTTACCATTTTCCTTTATAAAAATAATCGCTTTTTATCCTAGTCAATGGCATAGACTGCATGAATGTAAATCAACGCTATAGACCAACTCATGTTTTCTCAACTTTTCTACCAGGTATGAGTTCCAGGGAAGTGCAACAGAGAGTATCTTGTGGCTACCAGCTTCCTCGACCCTACCTCCGTCACGGAGGTCCTCCTGGTTCAGAAACAGACAGCCTGTCCTGGTTATGTCCCCTGTCCTTGTACACTCTCATGTTACAGTGCTGGGAGTTTGAGCCTGAGAGCCGTCCAACATTCCGATACTTGAACCAAACACTTTCCGCCTGGATTTCTGACGACCGTTCTAGTTACCTGGGAGGCAGTTTTTCTTGACGACCGTAATCAAAGATTGATAAATGTACATATGTATATAGATACGTATGCATT